CTTCCAAAGATGATAAGAACATTTATATTCTTCCCATCACAAACCTCAAACAGCCATTTGCTTCTCCATGGATAAACCTTCTTCTTCTTCTTCTTCTTCCTCTTTCTCTTTTTCATCCTCCATACTTCTCAGCCGCAGTCCGGCCATCGATCGCCACAATCCCATCATCACCGATTCCAGACGTTCACTCCCATCACCCACTCATATCCCGCCACGTGTCACCACCAAACCACAACACCACAAGAAGAACAAGAATATCAATACCATTACTACTACTACTAATAATAATAATAATAGTAAACAAAAAAATATCCCCACAAAGGAAAACGAAAAACGGGCCGACAAAAATGCTAGAAAGCCCGATGTCGAAAAGAACGTGAGGATTAGCCCGTCTGGCTCGACTAGGTACTTGTTGAGCGAAAGCGTGTTGTTTGATGACTTGTCGAATTTCGACCTGGCCCAGAAGATATTTTCGGCCCAAAAGGCAAAGGATGAGGATGAGAAGGTGAATGTATCTTCCTATAATGCAAAGTCTCCATCTTTAACTAACTTAAGTGAAAAATAGTAGTTCTTGATTATATGATCATTTACTTTGTTTTGGAAGTCTTTAATTTAGTAGTTATGGTTCTTTTTCTTCGCTCATTTTTTTGTTCGATTTTGTGCAGGTAGTTGTTTTGAGAGTGTCTTTGCATTGCAGAGGGTGTGAGAGGAAAATGAGAAAGCACTTATCAAGAATGCAAGGTTTTTCAGCTCTTCTTTTACTCTGTTTTTGCAAAATGTTATATACCATTAGGAAAAAGTGAACCGAACATTTGCTCCTTACAAAAACAAAACACGGCGAAAGTACAATATATTCGTCATTGATCCGAATTAATTCCGATTTTTGCATAATTAAACCGAAACAACGAACTAACAAACGTTTATTGCAGGCGTGAAGGCGTTCAACATAGATTTTACGGCAAAAAAGGTGACGGTGACCGGGAATATAACTCCATTGGAGGTGTTTTCGAGCATATCTAAGGTTAAATATGCCCAGCTTTGGTCTCCAGCTATGACATCATCATCATCATCATCAGCATCACCACCAATCAATTTCATGAGTAACTCAGAGTTCAAGAATGTGTTCAAAGGATCTTTATCAGTTGGTTAAAATTTACTTCTAATGGGTGTGAATTAGGATCTGGTGTGAAGTGTGTGCAATTGTGAGTTTGCTGTATGATTTTTTTTTTTTTTTTNTCTTCTTTTATATGGTTGCTGCTACTTAGGAGGAAAATCCACATAATCATTTGATAAAATAATTGACAAAATTCATATGCATGGCACAAAAAGAAATATAATATGCATAACACATACTATATAATCCCATTGATTAAGATTAGACATAAATTACATTAGAGTAAACGAGCCGAACGAAGCTGAGCGTGAGATCGAACTCATAAAACTCAAGCTCGGGTTTGAGTTTTTTATTTTGCAGAGCTCGATTCATTAACTAAACAAGCTGATAAAAATATTAGCGAACCGAATTATAAAAAATAATATTGATATATATATATATATTTGAGCCTTAACGATATGAACTTGACTTGACTCGACTCGTTAACTATAACGAGCTTGATTCGTTTGAAATTACAGTAGTATCTATATATACTTTGCTTTTACTTTGCTAGAAATTACAGTAGTATCTATATATAATATATATATATATATATATAATAAGAACTACCGTTTACTAAAAATAGTAGCCAAAAATTTAGGAAACATTTAATGCATTAATTGCTTCCATATACATGTTTTCAAATCAGATCAAATAAGATAGGATCAAATAATTACTTAAATAAATTTACTAATATCTGCAATATTTTTATGATAGGATCAAATAATTACTTAAATAAATTTACTAATATCTGCAATATTTTCATTGATATTTATTATAATAAATTACAAGATTGATTTTTCGTGATTCATGTTGATAATAATTTGGTAAAGATAACTATTATTTTATTAATATTTGTAATACTTTCATTGATATTCATTATAATAAATTACAAGATTGATTTCCATGATCCATGTTGATAATATTTTGGTCAAGATAAATATTACACCATATTTTAAGTTCTAACCATAATATTAATTTTTTTTTCACAAATATTTACTTTTTATCCAAAAATATTTATGGTAAATCGTAACAGGTTAAGTAGAATTTTTTGCCAAGATATCAGACAAAATCAAGTTGGTGAATTAATCTTTGCCAATATATTTTTTTCTTAAGCTTCATTTTGTTAAATATAAAAAATAAATTGTTCTTCAAATTAATATAATTTACCATTTAAGAGATAATAACCAGATAATATATTAATTATTTTACAAACTAATCTTAACATACTCATATTTAATGTTTTGACTAAAAAATCAACGCTGTACAAAATAGATTGTAACTTTATTGTTTATTACGCTTAACGCTGCCTAAAAGATGTGAAAAATAGATGATAACTCTATTACTTTATATGCTTAAAATGACAAAGCCTGTGAAAATAACTCATTTAATATTTATGTCCCGTGTATCGCACGGGGTACGTACTAGTAATAGATAAAAACAATAATAATTTCAAATTTATTTCAGACCTCAATAAAGTAGGTCATGGTTGGACTTGGGCACGTTTTAAATGGGCCAACTCTTTTTACAACCCACCATAAAAACATGTTTTGTTCGGACCTCTATAACGGGCCTGAGAATTATGCAGGCCCAATAAAACTAAAAAAGAAAGAGATAAAAAATTATATATATAGACAGTAAAAAAAATCCGACCTGCCGGATTCGAACCAGCGACCTAAGGATGGCTTCAGGTGTTACCCACTACAGTCCTCCGCTCTACCAACTGAGCTAAGGTCGGGATGGTAATTACGTAGTAAGATAAATTATATACAATTGTAATTTTTATTTATTTAGTTGTTAAACAATTAAAATTGTTCGGAAAATTTCTAAAAAAGTCAGTTTAACATATATAAATAAACCATATAATCAAATCAATTTAAACATGTGAAAAGAATTGTTGGAAACGAATGTAACTGAAAAAACGTGCAAAAGGTGCATGTTCCTCTCCACCTTTGGCAATAAATCCGTTCCAATTAACCAGGTCAACAGCTAATTAACTATAAGTGGATATTGGGGAGGATCGGAATTTAGATAGTATTAAATTTATGGGTTACACAACGTGCCATGAAGATAACTATTGAAAAAATTGCGTATTTTTTTTTCCCTAAATAGTAAACCAATTGTATAAGAAATTCAATCTCATAATTTAATGACATTCATTTACTTTCTATTTGATTACAAAAATCCTCATAATAAAATTGAATTTGATTCTTAGCCTATCCATTCACCAACCCCAATCACCTATATAAATTGCCTCTCAGAAGCAAGATTTGTGGCAAGAAAAATATATATAAAAAGAAAAAACAATCCTGTCTCCCAAAAAAAAAAAAAAAATATTTAAATATGACTACGAGAATGATGAATATTCTCGTATCCATAGTTCTTTTCCAAGCGATTTTCGTATCCCCAATGCTAGCCTCTGGCCGAGAGACTCAGTTTTTCGGGCAGCTTCCAAAAGGGCCCATTCCCCCATTTGGGCTGAGCTCCGGCCCACGACAAAATCCTCCGCTTCTACTTAGTAATGATCGTCAGATGCCGACAGTCGCCAGCCAGAAAGTATCGTTCGGGAAGCTGCCGAGGGGGCCGGTGCCTCCGTCTGGCCCATCCCCCGAGTTTTCACCGCCACCGTTTGGGCTCAGATGATGGCGGCCCAATAATATAGAGTTATAGCAATACATATACACAAATCCTATTTGGCCTATTACACAATTATGAGGTGATTTGGTTATATGTAAATAAAATTGCAATTTTAGCTCCATTATGAGATTGATGATGTGGCAATTTTAGTCTTATTGCCGTCGCGATTGAGACAAATAATGTTCTGTTTTGTGTCGTTTCGGCTGTCCAAGAACTACGCTTGTTTGGTTACAAATATATCTGTTCAAAAGTATTTTTTTTAATCAAGGTTGATTTTGAAAAAAACTGTATGATTAGTTGATAATGAGATTTTGAGTTTATATAAAAATAATATTTAAAATAAAATAGTTAAAGTTGATTTGGTATAAAAATATGAGACAAATGATGTGGAGCGACGTTTAGTTAAAATTATGAGTAGACGAATATTGCATTAAAATTAATGTGATGTGTAAGAATTATTGATTGATATTACTTATTTATATTGATAATATTGAAAATAATGAGATTGAATTAAACTTGAGTTAAATTAAACTTGAGTTAAATTTTGAAGTAAGAATTGAGTATGATATGAAAAAATTTATAAACAAACACATCATAAATCATCTCTATTAGGGATAATTTTTCATTAAATATGAAAAATTCTGTCGAAAAAGTATGGGTATCATTTTGGTTGGTGCCAAATCTATTGTTTCTTGGAATGAATACACGAAAATCGAAATCCAAAACCGATTAAGGATTTTTGTAATGAATAGTAATCAAGAACATGAATTTCGTGCACTTTAATTTAGTCTTTCACAATTGCTAGTATTAGTTAAGCTGAAATTTAAACATGTTGGATCCTTATACATTTAAAACCAAATATTATTTTCATTAATATATACTATTTTATCATAAAAATACATATAATTATTAAAAAACATATTGATTTCATGAATGATTTCGTGATTTGAATCTAAGCTTGCATTTTCTTAATGACGTAAGAAAATCAAACTAGCGGCATAATTGATGAGCATTTGTTTTTACCAACCAAAAAATATATCTAACGAATAGACGAGACAAATATGATAAAGAAACGACAAATTTTGCTTTAGCAAAATTTTAGCCATTAACTTATTTACACAACACTACAAAAGACCAACTGATCAAGCTATAGGGATATTATTGAACTTAGCCCTAATCTAGAAACT